TATTTATGGTTTGAAAACATTTAAATCGAGAACTTACAATAATGTCTCTTTCAACCGAAAAAAAACGATATGGCTATTTGGGACTATTTCTTATCGATGTAGTCATTTGCTGTAAATGCATGGATTATTGCACACGGCATGACCTGCAGATGTCCTGAACAGGCTTTTTGTAGCATTTTAAGATTTAAAAAAGGACCACACATTAAAATCTAAAACATGATAAACATGACGCATACACTAAATAAGTGAATTATCTGATATGTAAATAAAGATGTAAGTCATTTGACAGTTGAAGGATAAAAATTGAATATACTCTTCAAATGTAATCGTAATTTTACTAAGCTTATGTTAGCTGTCAATTATTCAATGGACGCATCAGTGGCATATGGACCCCAGTCATAGATCTTGCCGATGTTGCTATTACAGATGTTATCTGTTTACTATTTTCTACTTTGTTTACTCCACATGGCGTCCATTCTCGTTCTTATTCATGGCTATTTTAGGTCTTTTTTATAAATAGAGAATCACAAGTAATGCAACTAAGTAACAATACTATCAGATTTACACGGCACAGTTCCAAGGTCAAGTTGTGATTTCGTTTATCAAACTCTAGAAATTTATTATACAACAATTCCAGAAAAAATATATACCTTTTAAAAGTCTCTCTTTTGAAGACAGAAGAACCTATTCGTCACATTCACGAGTGTCAGTGTTTGTCAGTTACTCTTTACAAAAATAAACTGAAAAAATACATTTAGCTTTACAACACTCGCGTTAAAGTGTAACCCTTTCCATAGCATACAAAAGTGTTTTTATTTTTTATTTTAACTCTTCCTCTCACTGAGAGCACATATATTTCTTATCAATTTCGCCATTGTGAAATAGAATAAAACACATTTTACTACATAGGATAAAATGAGCAATACTTTAAACATCTTCAAAACGAAACCAAAATATTATTTTCCGACAGGGACTAAATCTACGTGATTTGACGTGCACTTTTGCGATACAAGTAAGTGTTATTGCTTTTAGGAACAATCAGTTTTTTCACCATCTCTCTGTGAAAGATCAACAATGAAAAACTAAATTGTAGAAAGAGAACGGTAGGCATGTTGCTTTGCATTTGCAACGGATTCTAAAATCTGCTTTAAACTGTAGTCCTTCTTTTCGACTTGGAACTGGTGCCAGAATTGACAATTGAAGAAAAATTTAAGATTTATGTCATTCATAATAAAAATATGAACATATTTAGGTAGAGTTTTGCCTTCCGTACTCCCGGTTGATGTAAACCTGACTTTTTAATAATGACGTAGACCAGATAACGCCAGAAAACGAAATAGCTTGCAACTGAAGCCCGCTCTAATACAAGCAACTTCCAAGGTTATGCAAAGTGTTTGATAAAACGGCTTATAAACTGACGAAGATCCAATATTCTGTGGAAAGCTTATATTTTTCCCCGTAGACTGATGAATATCCCAAAGAAATTGGTGCAGAAATAAAATATTTACGGCTTTTTTCTTTTCCGAATCGAGCAACATTTGTCTTGGAAATGATGCCGAAAATGACGTCAATGTCACGTGGTATGGCCACACTGATTAAGGTAGACCATGGGTAATGCATTACCTCCACTTTGAAGAGTATTCAAATAGGCTAGAATCGCTTGCAAACTACACTGAAATTGTGGGGCGTGGGTTCAAGCCCCAGAAGGGGCAAAATTTTTTTCTTTCTTTTTTTTTCTTTTTAACATTTTTTATGTATCTCTCTGATCCCTTATGGAAGAAAAAAGGGTTTGATTTAAATTATATAATTATTGTAGATATTTTTTGCTAAATAATGCGAAAATTTACAGTAAATATGATACTAGATATTTTCAAAGTTTAATAAAATAAAAACTACACGGTAAAAGTATTTTATATTTCGCATGATCAACCAATATACCTTTAAGAAAATTTAGGCAAACTTTGAAAACAGCCCCTCATTATGGTAAATTTTAGGAATATTTTGAATAAGGCATTTTAGATAGGGAAATAGTAAAATTAGTGTTTAAAGTGGGTGGGGTAGGGTAACATTTTTATACAGATTAGGAACATTTTGTTTAGAAACAAACATTTTGCTTGTGTATTTTGTTACCTGAATGTTGTTATTTGTTTCTTAACAATGGGCAATAGAAAAACATTTTTTATAATGATGATATTACAAATTATTTAGAGTTTCTTCATTTCTGAAAATAAGCCCTTCTAATGGCAAAGTCTTAGTTTAGAAATATATCCATAACTCATAAACCACACGGTAAATTTTATTTAAATTTTGCATACAGGTGACATTTAAGACATATAACTGTCCTATGTTGTCAAATTTACAGTTCCTTATGGTGCCCATTACCCATGGTCTACCTTAAAATAAAATCATCGTTTTCGCTCCGTTACTCTTCGCTACGTAGCGTAGGGTAGTGAAGCGACAGTTAGGATATGATTTTAATGAGATTGGATATTTACAAAAATAATATGAAGCAAATATCAATATTTTATTAAATGGAATTTAAAACTGCTTAATATGCCATTAGTCAATATTAAAGTGAATGGGTCTGTATTGGAAGTTATTTAAAAGAATGAATTATCATCGTCGGATACCCACGGTCAAACCATTAACATTCATCTGCATGTTATGTGACATGTTTATCAATCGTGGGTATCCGACGATGATGAATTATTAGTTTAAACAATATGTTATTTATAAACATTACATTTACATGATAATTGACGAGTAATAAATTGTACGGATTGAGTAGGAAGCTTGAAAAGCTTTTTTAGAAGTTCTCTCCGTAAGTACTATCCAAAATAGTATATAAACAATGGTAACAATTAAATATGTAATGAGGCAGCATTAATGAATATTAATATGTTGATAGTATTTCGTTTCAGACATTGCATCAGACCACGAAATACGTGTATGTATATTGCTGGCAAATGTGAGATACATGATCAAACATTATATTGTTACATTTTGTATAGCAGATAATAAAGTGTTCTAGAACAAAATTTAATTGTTCTTTATACAAAATTTTATACTAAATCACTTAAAACTTTATTAACATTCTTTAAAAAAAATATCTCTAAGAATATCCAGATGATACATTTCTAGTGTTTCTATCAATATTTGAAATAAAATGTACTTATTGGAAACGTACAAATTGCAGACCAATCCACTTAAAGTACTTGCTGTCACTATAGGCAAGTTTTGAATTACATTTACATACAAAATTACTTTAAACTTGTTGTGTAGCTTTCTTTGTAAAAGAATGCCCTATTTCCGGAAAATCAGCTTTGACTTTTCGCCGGTTGAATAGAAAGGTTAGTTTTTTTCGATTTGATGTTTTTAGGTACATTTTTTATGTTCTGTGATTTTCTAGAACGTTTAAGTTGTTATGGTTTTTGTGATTTAAAATCATAATTACATGATAACTGTTATCTTTTCATACTGTGAACTAATGCCAGAAGAACTGCTTAGATTATTGTGACTTTAAAAATGACTCGAATAAGTTAATTTTAAATGTGTCTTAGCTTTGATGTGCTGTCTATTATATTTGTATTCAAAAATTCAATGCAGGGATGTAAGTGCATTCAAAAATAATTATCTTGTTTAAAATTTTGTCTCCAGATTTTTTTATGACAGTTATATTATAAAAACGTTTGCATTTTTAATAACTTTTAATTTCTAATTACACTTAATGTTGTCTTTGTCCGAGCATTGGCAGGTCTATTTTCCTTGTGTTTTATATGACCAAGTCTGTCTGGAAAGATCAGACCTCTACTAGTGCAAAAGATAGACCTCATAACGGATTTTCTTTTGTGTAACAGGTCTATCCGAAAATATAGGCCTGCCACAAACAACAAAGGTGTGTAACAGAGACAAACATTTATGCATAATTACTTCAAAGTCTATAAATGACTGACAAAGTCATGGACTGGACATGATTAACTGCAAATGACCTGTACAGGGCAACACCTTACGGGAGACAAACGTTATTGGTTGCCCCAGAGAGGTTAATTCTTTTCTAAATTTTAACTTAAGATAAATATTACTGTTAAGTGGTAATTGCTCTGGCGCTCTGCAGAGGTTAAACTGTATTCACAACCATTGTATGACTGAACGTACAAGTGTGACCTTTGACCTCAAGTGCTTGCATGCGACATGTTGCCATCATTTCTAACACATTTTATGACAAGATATTTTAACTATGCCCAAGTATAACAGAATTGCCTATGAAAAATTATTATCAAACTTTGAGCTGGGAGCCTGGTTCTTGGTGTTCAAAAATTGACATTATGTCAATGAATTTTATACAAAGTTACACCGCATGTTCTTCTTCAGTTACACAAACATAATAACAAAACAATGACTTTTTTTATTTAAAATTTATTCACGTTGATAATAAAGTTTTAAGTTTTTTATTTACACGCTGAAACGTTATGTAAGGGGGAAATATTCTGATTAAATCATGTGAATAAAAATAAAACATCATTATCTCCCCTAGAATGAACAAATACATTTTGATAACAATCTGCCATAAAAACACAAACTAATTGCACAAAGATAAGCTTTTCATTGAATTGGAAAAAATTACTTTTAGAGAAATGCCTGACATTGTGTCAAAATCAGTTTCAAAAATAATGCATTAAAGTATACCTTCTGGACAGTTCAGAAATGTGTTCATTCTATATCAAAATTGTATCAAGGAAACACATAACATATGAATTAATTATATTTATGTTTTGAAAAAAAAATGTAAATCAGCTTTGTTTTCATTGAATATTATACAGAAACTTGTTTTAAGCTGCTTATATAACTGAAAACAGATCGTATGCAAACACCTGTCCTATTGATAATGGCAATCACAGGCTTTTAGTTATAAGTTTTTGATGATAAAAAAAAGAAAATTTATCATGGATTTTGTCTTGTTAAATTTTTTCAATCGTCTTTGCTGACTGACAGGCTGTGTGTAAAAAAAAAGAGACTTGTATTTAACAAGTATTATACTTCAAAAATAAACTTTAAATATCCAAAATCAGATAATAAATGGTAAAGCTTCAAGGCTTTTTGTAAAGTAGTAAGGTATCTGTTTTTGAAAAGGCATTTTACACTTAGCGCCATCAATGTACCTTTATCTGCTGGGCAACAATACATTTAAGCGTTTATATATGGTTAACTAGGAGTTTCTGATCCTCTAAATTAAAGTCTGTGAGGCAATACATTGGATGCAGTCACTTGGGTATATAATAAACTAGAACTGCCACTATCATGGCGTGAATACCCCCGCATACCACTTTGTCAGAATCAACAGTGGCCATTTAGAGCTCAAGGACAACCTCCCTGCCAAATCTGAGGTTACTAAGCCAGTGCATTGCTAAGTTATGTATTCTACATGCTTCAAATGTGAAAATGTCAAAATCAATACATTGCAGACAGGACATTCTTTAGCAATTGAGAAGAAAAGCTTTTTTTTTTGTCAAGGTCCCTGTGACCTTGACCTTTGACCCAGTGACCTCATAATCAATAGGGGTCACCTTATAGTCATGATCAACATCCATGCCAAATATGAAGACTGTGGGTCAAAGGAATCTTAAGTTAATGGGTGGACAAACTTTTTGAAGTCAAAGTCCCTATGACCTTGACCTTTGATCCAGTGACCTCAAAATCAAAAGGGGTTCATCTACTAATCATGACTAACCTCCATGCCAAATATGAAGACTGTGGGTCAAAGGAATCTTAAGTTATTGGTCGGACAAGCTTTTTGAAGTCAAGGCCCCTGTGACCTTGACCTTTGACCTAGTGACCTCAAAATCAATAGGGGTCATCTACTAATCATGACTAACCTCCATGCCAAATATGAAGACTGAGGGTCAAAGGAATCTTAAGTTATTGGGCGGACAAGCTTTTTGAAGTCAAGGCCCCTGTGACCTTGACCTTTGACCTTGGTGACCTCAAAATCAATAGGGTCATCTACTAATCATGACTAACCTCCATACCAAATATGACGACTGTAGGTCAAAAGGAATCTTAAGTTATTGGGCGGACAAGCTTTTTTGAAGTCAAGGCCCCTGTGACCTTGACCTTTGACCTAGTGACCTTCAAAATCAATAGGGGTCATCTACTAATCATGACTAACCTCCATGCCAAATATGAAGACTAAGGGTCAAAGGAATCTTAAGTTATTGGGCGGACAAGAAAAAACCGACGGACGGCCGGACGGCCGGACGGACGGACAAGCTGATTCCAGTATACCCCCCTTACAACTTTGTTGTGCGGGGGTATAATAAAAGCTTTATTACGCATTTTTTGTTAAAATATACAAATCCATGATTAAGTGTATGTGTCTGTAATCATACCACTTTATAAGAGAAAATCTAATTATGCATGTTATCAGTAGGATATCAATATTTTAATCACATCATTTACATTAAACAACAAGAGCCCGGTTTGAGCCGGGTGATGCTCCCCGAATAGGTTTTGGACACAGGAAAGTACACCTCTTGTAGTTTCAGAGTTATGTCCGTGGAAAAAGTTCAAAGTGCAATAATTCCAAAATTAGGCAAGGCTGTTACAGTTTTTTGCACTGCACTTCTAATCAATGTGATCTATCAACTTACAAAGTTTCTTGATGATATCTCTTATGATTTCCGAGTTATGTCCTGGACAATTCAAAAAGTAAAAATAAACAAAGGGCAATAACTCCAGAATTAGGCAAGGTAGAGTTATGATTCTTGTGCACTGCACATCTACCCATTGAGATTTATCTACCTACAAAGTTTCATGTTGATATCTCTTATAGTTTTACAGCTATGTCCTGGACAAGATTTTTCTAAAGGGGAGAGATTATTCAAAAATAAGGCTTAACAGAGTTATGGTTCTTTTGCACTGCACATCTATCCATTGAGATCTATTCACCTACAAAGTTTCATGTTGATATCTCTTATAGTTTTAGAGTTATGCCCCGGACAAGATTTTTCTACAAGGGGAGATAATTCAAAAACCGGGCAAAATAGAGTTATGGTTCTTTGACACTGCATTCCCCCTCAATGCCCTCCACCACTGTATGAAGTTCCAACAAATTATCTCCAAAGGGTTTTCAAGTTATGTTCCGGACAAAGTTCAAAGTATTAAAATAAACAAAGGGCAATAACTCCAAAATTAGGACAAAAAGAGTTATTGTTCTTATGCACTGCACATCTACCATTGAAATCTATTCACCTACAAAGATTCATGTTGATATCTCTTATAGTTTTAGAGTTATGCCCCGGACAAGATTTTTCTATAAGGGGAGATATTCAAAAACTGGGGAAAATAGAGTTATGGTTCTTTGACACTGCACTCCCCCTCGATGCCCTCTACCACTGTATGAAAGTTTCAACAAATTATCTCCAAGGGTTTTCAAGTTATGTTCCGGACAAAGTTCAAAGTATTAAAATTAACAAAGGGCAATAACTTCAAAATTAGGACAAAAAAGTTATTGTTTCTTACGCACTGCACATATACCCATTGAGATCTATTCACCTACAAAGTTTCATGTTGATATCTCTTATAGTTTTAGAGTTATGCCCCGGACAAGATTTTTCTATAAGGGGAGATAATTCAAAAACCGGGCAAAATAGAGTTATGGTTCTTTGACACTGCACTCCCCCTCGATGCCCTCTACCACTGTATGAAGTTTCAACAAATTATCTCCAAGGGTTTTCAAGTTATGCTCCGGACAAGACAACGGACGGACAGACGGACAGACGGACAAGGCGCCGACTATATGCTCCCCCGAAATTTTTCGGGGAGCATAAAAATTCTAAGCACATCTGCAGCAAATAATTCTAGTTTTATTTAATACAGAAAACACACAGACTGGATTTACTTTTAGCAACAATCACCACATGAAGCTTTCAAAGATTTTTTTACATTTAGAGCTAAAATAATACTTAAGGTCACCTTAACAATAGGCTTGAAAACTAATATATTTATTACTAGCATAACTGCAGATGAATACAGCTTGAGTTGTTTGTGATCAGTTGGCACGCATTGTGTCTGTATCATAGTCAGCACATATTCTGAATTTTTGCTAAAAATTAGGAATGCTTTTGTCCAGGTTAAAAGATATAAGAATAAGTCCATTAAAATTCTAAAAATATTAAGTTTGTAGCAAAAGATATAACAATGTGTTTCAACACAACATAAGACATGAAAATTAACATACAGATCTCCAAGGCTCCTTATTCACAAAAATTTAAAGATCAGGATCAAATCCAAAAACCCCAAATATTCTCCATTGTCTCATATATTAAATATTTTATATTAACTTAATTAAAATGGAATATGAAATTTTAGAAGAAATCTATGTTGTTTTTTTTTTGTTAGAAGATATGGGCATTTTACAGTTGATCCAAATATTGGTCTTGATCTAAATTAAAACCTAATTATGATCCAATTATTTTTGTATTGTTTTGTTATTTGTCAATTGTATCCCATAAATGGTTTGTTTCTTTGCAAATCAGCAATTGTTTGACATTTTTGAATATGTACCATTTAATTCTGGCAAAATACAATCAATTTTAGTTGCTATAAAACAATGAAAAAATATTATCAGGATCATTTCAGGGGTCCTGGATCTTTTTTCTTAGTGAACACTGGGGACGGGTTATAAAAACACTTCTGACATTTGTCTCGCATCTCAGGATTCCCAATTGGTTTCTGAACAAATGAAACACCCGAGATCTGAGTTTTGAGCATAGAAAATTTCTTCATTTTGTTGAACAAACAATTTTAATATTCCTTCACTTACAATTCATACAAATATAAAATATTACATATGTACAACTCTTTTACAGTTTTTCCTTCAACCTAGATTTACTCCAATGGAAAATTTCTTATTTCAATATAATGCTCATTATGCTTGAATAATTTTTAAAATTGTCAGATGCAGTCAAACAAATCTATTATATACAATGACCAAACAGATTGCGTCATTTAATAAAACTTTCAACAGAGCACACAAGAAAAAATATCTTACTTTACAAAACATTCTCAATTCTTTAAAACACAACAATTTCTCTCAAATATGACGTCAAAAACTGTACTGAGCAAATCAGTTCATTTAAATGTTAAAAACTTTTTTTCAATTTTATTTATACATTTTACAACAAAAATTCTATGTTCCAAATTAAAAAAGGTGAAAATTTACAAAATTTTTTTACAATATCTACTTAGGAAATTATCTAAAGAATGTACATGTACCATCAAATATGAAACAAGAATTGCAAAAAAGTAATTCCCAAACAGTGCTATATCAGCATTTATCCAAAATGTTAATTTTGTACTCAATACAGAATTACTGACTTGTTAAAAAAAAAAAAACTGCTCCCTCAATTTTTTTCTTTCTGTATAATGAACAGTAAAACTATTGTACCACATTTTTTCTCATGCATGCCTCCCAAACATTTGGTAATAAAAAACCAACATTAATTACAGAAAGGAACTGTCACAAATAAAAAACAAGACATAAAAAATTATTGCACCGCTATCTTCTCTGTTTTCTGTTTAGAACTGGATTTTGTGCTGCCCCCACCCAGCCAGCCTGCCAAACATTTCAGACATGTCTGGTAAACTGGATTTATCATTTAAAGCTTTTCATCTGAGTACTGCATCTCCTGAAATAAGAGAGATATTATTTTTCACTTGGGCTTGCTGTGGTTTGAAATCTTTGTTTACCCAAAATTTGTTTGAGATTTTCTGTGATTTTATACAAAAATTACATCAACATAGGAGCATAACAATGTTGAATAATGAAGGCAAATAACAAACTCCAAGTGGAATTTAATGTTTTAAAAAATATCAACATTTAAACATGTTTTGATTTGTATAGTCTACCTCAGTACAAACACTATAAACTAGAAAATGGGGAAAATGACGTAAGAATGTCTTGTGGAAGCATATAAATTGGCCACATCAAAAAAACTTAATAATTTAATGCTGGAAAGTTAAGAGGTACTCTATACTGAGGGAAAGCTCAAGGGGAATGTGACAAAAAGTGATTGCCAATTTCAAATACAGGTAAAAAGTATTCAACACGCTCTAATTAATATTTAATTGCCATAAAATTCATATTTGCCCTTTCCAAATAATGTAAAGAAATTCATTTGTTTCTGTTTTAAAGTAAGTAAAGATAAGAATTCAAAAATTATGTTTTGTTGATGAAAAAAAAAACAACAACAAAAACGCCAACAAATGAGAAATAAACAAAATCATGTCAACATGAACAATTTAGTACTGGGCTGCTATATAAAGCAGATCATACCTTCTGTGCTTCAGGATCTGCAGCATTCATCATCTATCGGTAAAATCATTTCAACAACACTAAAGCAATACCATTGTTAATTACCTGAAACATAAAGTAAGATTTTCTAAAAACTAGGCATTTGATGATGACAAATTGATAATTAATAATTGTTTCTATTATAGTTTTCAGTGTTAGAGCAGGCACTTGAAAATAACTAGCAAGTCCCTGATTTAGTCATGAGAAAAGCAAAATACTGTATGGGATTCGTAACCCAAAGCTTGAGAGGCCAACTAACACTAGTCAAAAATCATTAACCTCTTTGCCATGGCATGGCCTGTGCAACCTTCTTTATTAATCACACTAGTAAATAGAATAATGAGTCACAACTGTCAGTGTTGTACTTTGTACAGTAAATTGGGCATACTGAATACTAATATTATCATGTTGTATAAAGTCACTTATATTAACCCCAAGTAGTAAAAACTCGTACTTTTTTAAAATTTCACATAAACGAAAAGAAACAAAAACAAACATACATAGATTTCTTGACAGAACAGAAGGTATGAATTAACAACAAAAAATTAAAACTCTATTAATCAAGCGAAAATTAAAATAATTTATAATAATAATACCATTGGATTTATAAGAAAGTCTGTAATCTTCCATTGCTCTCTTTTCTGGAAATAATTTGCCTTCCTTCTATCTCGGAATTCTAATGGATAATGCAGTTTTCACATACAGATGGCTGTAAAATAATGACTCGTCTTGACCCTCATCTTTCCTTTAAAGTAATTATCAACTCGACACAGATTTCAACAGATATTGTAGGTGTTTAATACTTCTATCACATACGTGCCTGATGGGACACCATGTTCTAATAAAAAACTGCCATCACCCCTAGAAAATGAAAACAAACAAACAAAAAACTTTCAATTTCCATGAAAAAAAAGTGGTTGAACAGGCAATACCATAATTGAAGACTTAACAATTTTTTATCTATATTTTGGATTAACAAAGATAATTGTGTTACAGATGGTCAATCATTTAGGCGAAAGAAAATTACTTTGTCTAAAGAGGTCCTGTCCGACATGTAGATCAGCTTTGTCCTTGAACTACTTGCCCCAAGTCAGCCAATCTTTAGTTTTTTAAACTTGCCCAATGGTCAAAATCAGCCTGATATTTTAACTTACAGTACTGGTAAATTTATTAAGATGCATAATCTTTTATTCATCAATTACTTACAATATTCTGTTCATCACCACATTTGAACGAAATGTGATTTTAAAATGAATGATATTTTTATAATTTTTATTCTAACCGACTTTCCCGTTCATATGTTTCCCAAATTTCATATCGTACCCTAACTTAAATCCTGGTTCCCCTTTCCCTTTACACCATTTGACGCTTCTGAACTAGAAACTACAGGCTTTCTTATCAGTAAATTGCAAGTAAAGATAACCTTTGTGTTCATCACTTATTATAAATAGTATGCAAAAATAGTTCTGTTCTTCGGTTAGGTTTAACTGTAAATTTAAATATCTTTAGTGTCAAATAAGTGCTGAAATATATACTGAGACGAAGCAAGATCACAAGCTTTTAATTGTGTATTATATTCTAAAATCTAAAATGCCACAAATTTAGGGTTTAAAAATGGCTAAATTGGGCCATTAAGCTAGCCACTTCCTAAAGTCATTCAGTAGATGTGAATAGAGCGGGATATTGAATGAGTGTAGGTTTTTAATACTAAATTTATGAATGAGTTGAATAAAAATCATATTATGCGAGCCTCTGCGGCGAGCAAAATATTGTTTTATTTCATCGAGTTCAAAAAAATAAATTTAGTATTGAATCACATTACGAATTAATATTCTATTTATCACATTAATAAATATAAAATAAGACGTAATAAACTGTTTAACTGATTGAGTAATTTTTTCAATGATGCTAACATTAGCGGGCTTTAACACTGTTTATAGCGCAAAAGACATCATGTCAAAGTGTTATTACACTAGTGTAGTATCATCTAGTGTAATAACATTTTTATTAAATGGCTTTATCACACACCCGTGCCGATTTTGCTACTCCGTAAAAATGGTATTGCACGGCCGTGCATATATTTTTTATATATATAAAAATCTCTTTATTTAAAAACCCTTTTTTTAATTTGGGAAAAAATAATTTATTAATTATAATTAAATTTTATAAATTTATATTTTATATATATTTATTAAATTTAAACTTTTATTTTTCATTATTTTAATTTAATTTTTT